GAGTACAGAGTTTCTAGCGACGATAAGTCGCTGTGCGTACAAATACATGGAAGACGGAGAAAGGACGAGCCCGCCAATTTCAACTGGACAGTTGTCAAAAACTGTCCTAAAGAAATACTTGACAGAATAAGAAGCTTATTGCACAAGCAGAAAACCTGTGCAACAACAGCAAAAAAAAGCTTGAGACAACAACACAGTAGAGAAACAGACAGTGCGCTATGTATTCATAGCATATATAGATCAACGTAGATAGAAAGTAAAGATAAGGACATTTTTATATTATTATTCGATAAAATCTAAATGTTACACATTGACACAAGCATAAAGTGAAACCAATATAATAATGAACAGCAGACTACAGTTTATAATCATTATCTAAAATAAAAGTTCTAAACGAAAAGAATTACCAGATAATTCATTGTTATTAATTCTGTTAGATTCAATTGTAAAATGTGTTTGTTCTACTTCTTATATTGATACATTTAAACAATTTGAGGGACATAGATATACACGAAAAGAAATTTTTTTGATAGGATTTTGACAGGTTTTCTAGAAGGATCTCTGGGAAACCAGGTGCGCAAAGATAGAAAGTTTGACAGAATTTCGAATGTGAAATGAGCAAAACTGCTATTTTTCAAAAAGTACTGTTTTTCGTGACGAAATAAATTCAAGTTTTATAAGGCGGCGTTTCTTGTCAAATAATACATATTGTACAGAATTCTTTGTTCTACAAAGAGGACTGAAGTAAAGTCCATCTTCGTCCAAACTTGACAACATGAAAATCTTTTTAAACGGTTGCACGTAATGTTACTCATGATTTTCTTTTTATGATTTTCTAACTCTAAATACTCATTTTGTGTGGATTTGTCATATTAATAAACAAGATAAGAAAAACAGCACTGAGAAAATATCATTGCTGATTGATAAGCAGCAAAAGAGGATTTTTGCTGATGAATAAAGACTACAAAATTCAACAAAAATGCGTCACTCTTACATTGAATGAGTAAAAGGTTAACTGCACAGTAGGCATTTTTCCATAGGCGGACATCTTGTTTTTTTGAGTTAAAAAAATGATTATTTTCGCATAATATGGTCTTATTATGATATTAATAAAACTAAACAAACTCGAATTAAAAAAATTTTTTTTCGATAAAAAGTTCCTTAGGGGACCCTTGCCCTGAATTTTTGTCCAAAAATATTTTATTTGTACAATTAACAAATTAAACATCATTCGCAGGAAGTTTTCATGCTCATTCCGTATATCACATTAGTTTCCAATAAAACTGCTTGCTTGAGGAAAATGGAAAATACCGGTTTCTGGAAAACCTGTATATTGCTCTAGGAGAATTCACGCATTTTCGCGCATACATAGTAGATGCAGGGTATGTGGACGAACATTTTGATGTAATTTGAAGTCGAATTAAACTTTAGGAAAACTCGGGATTTTTACTGCACTAGAGACGTCAGGAGGAAACACTCTTCCGTTTAGGAAAACATCAAATTTTCTTCTTAGAGCTTAATTCTGGAACACTGTTTTTGTCCGAAATGTAGGTGAAACAGTGCAGATTCCGAATATCTATATCTTATAACTTACCATATAGTTCAAAATACAAAAAAACGTTTGCCGGTGAAAGACGCTTTTTATGGGGTCTTTTTTCACTCATAGATTGTTTTCGGAAATTTGTCAGCTAGAATAACAACTTTTTCGCCATTAGATAGCCCAGACTTTGGAGTACTTATGAGGCTATTTGAATTTCAAAAAAGCTTTACTTTCGATTTTTCTCCAAATGTCCGCCTGCATGCCCACTGTGAACTACAAGTAAGAACTTGATCATAATTGAGCTTCTCAGTGGGTGACCGTGGGTATCCGCATTTTTCACTAATACTAGTCAATTTCGGGTGAAATTTCGTACTGGACGTCAAATATATTTTATTTTTTGTGTGGATTTACCGTTCACAGCACCATACAGTACTAAAGAGAGAGCTGCAAGGCGAAAATTGTAAAAGGTGCTATAGGTTATCTAATCCTGCCGTTGGGTTTAAAGAATTTATTGCAGTTCTATAGATTGGTGACCTTTTCTTCCAAAGTCCGATATAATATACCAACTAGCAACCGGTTTTCAACCGTCTTCTAACGTCGAGAGAGACAATAAAAATTGGTTTCGTGTTAGTAAACGTCATAGTTCTCTGTTTTCGAACTTTCAAAATTGATTAGAAACATATTAATGAGCATTCTTCTTTGAAGTATATGACTCAACCGTTAGAAAAGGTTTTTACTTGAATTTTTCTGATTTATTCGTGACTTTCGATAAGTAGTGACGACGGTTACTTTTTGACCGTGTTTGTATGACGAATTGTGTATTTGTTTATGTTATCTTGTCGAAGTATTATGGTAAGGACTTTTTTACTATTCTGCATCGTCAAGTCATTTATTGTTTCTTTCAAAAGGAATTATAATTATGAATGCTAATGAAAATAATGCTGTTTTTCCCGATAACATTTATCCAATAGCCAGCACCAATGATGGTACAACTCAACGAAATGAGATAAACCTCACCCTTTTCCCAGGTAATAATAATGCTCGTTTTGGTCCTAGTTGTACTTCAATCATCTCAACATCGAATTCTGAAATAATAGAGGGTATAATCACAGGTTTTCGAGAACAACATGGAAGAGCAGTAATGCGAATGTTGATTGCAGTTATCGTACTAGTCATTCCTGCAGTAGTATGTGGTGCATTATACACAAATAAAACTATCCATCATATATTCCGTGATTCTAAGCGAAGCTAGTTTCCGCTAAAATTTGAGCGAACAACGGTGTAGTAACGATACATTAGAACGACATTATCGCATTGAATACAATCATGCAGTAAATTAACAATAGTCAAAGACGTTCATTTGGTTATTTAATTGGGACAAATATTTTGGGCATTTTCGCATTTATAGTCTCTATTATCTTATGCACATACGGAATCCCATTTTTGACTGGCAATGATAGACATAATAAATTAAGAGGCAGTATAATCCGTTATAAAATTAAGTTGGAAGGTGAACAGTGGATTAGATATGTAAATTATTTGTTTGGTCCACAACGTGTATGTGAAGGTAGATTCAGGATGTTCGATCTCATGATGGGGGATAGATTGTAGAATTGATAAGCTGCTTTTTTAAGAATTTTAGAACAATACAATAGAATCTTTCAGATTTTATGAAATGATATGCGATCTTGTCCTGTCCTTTGAAATCTGAACTCTGTGCAATGCGACAAGAAACTACGTAATTGCCAAAGACCTCTGTTTGTAAGCATAAATCTCTTTGTATCATACAGTAGCAGATCATATAACATCGTTTCGAATCTGGCAAATACTTAAATATTCATCTGTGAAAAAAGCGGAAATACCAAAAGCTATTGATTGTTTTCTGAATGTTCTTTTGTTATTTAGTTTAGATTGATTCATGAATTTATAAAATATAGATATTGTTATGGTTTTAGTGTTCGGTTCAGAACAAAACTATTTTCAATTTTTTCCATTTTTCGTCATTTTGTAATACCATACTATATCACTCGAGGATTCGTTGTACCACAATAATTTGTTTCTGATCAATACGAAATTTTAAACTGAAGTTCACTTTGAGAGTGAAAATGTTAATACGGGCTTATTGGTGTCCTCTCAGTTCGTCCCAACTAATTCGTCCCAGAACTTTTTTTTCTCAATTCATCCCATCAACATTTCTCTCTCACTTCGTCCTATATTTCTTTTCTCAATTCGTCCCAGATATCTATGGTCGTGCCTCAAAATAAATACAGTATTATATCATCGAACAGTTTAGACGACGACGATGGGTATTCTAGACAATACTAGATGCGCGTACGTGGCATGTACAAACATGGAATGCTAATGATGCAATCCACAATAATATACCACGAACCAAGCATCATGTGGACGGATATAACAAGCGTCTGGAAACTAATTTTTCTGTTCATCTTCGTATTTATGAATTTGTTCGATTGTTGCATGATGAACATTCGTTTCAACATCATCAAGGTGAAGCATCGGAAATTCATGCTCCAAAAAGAAAGAAATTATATTCTAATTAAGTTTAAACTAATATGGAACTAACCAAGAAAAAAAGCTCCATGGGCTAAATTGAGAAGTCAATTTGGGACGAACGGAGAGTACCGGCTTATCTCTTTAAAAAAGTTTGAATTTCTTTAAGTCTCAGAAAAAAACTTCAAGATTTTCAGTTCTTTTTACTGCAAACGCCAAATAGGTTAACATTCAAAAAAACCACCGGCAGAACTGAGCAGAACATATCAGTTCATAAGACGAAAATCTGTACGATTAACCGATTCGACTTTATTCGGATTCAGTTCCACAAATTCCTAGAAGTTCCGAACTCGAAGTTGGTACCACTCACTATCGATCTAATGCATGAACATCTTTGGTACTGGTGTACTACACGACGTTCATGGTCAGGTTTCGAATACACAGATCCTCAAATCTAGTGTCATCACTAAAATGTAGAGTAAATCACTTCTGCAACACATAGCTATTATGATCCATTCTACACCAGCACTCTCTGCACACGAGTTTCTCTTTGTTGCGACATCCTCTACGATAAATGTTAACACACAACTTTTATTGAGTCTGATTTTCAACAAGATTTTGAGCTAATTTTGCCGTTTATCAACAAAGAACGATATAAGTTAAACAGATCTAACCTTAGATTTATAGGCGGCGGAACCTCCTGAAACTTAGTGAGGATCAGTCGCGCGAAGGTAGCACGAATTAACGAAAAATTCTCATCTTAGTAACAGGGAATGATTTTTCGCAGGTTATCTCAAAGATAAAAAGGTAAAAAGAGGTGTGGGGTTATGGTGTTGACTGAGATGTTTTTTATTCTTGTGGGAGCTGTTCTGTTTTGAATATGTGGAACTCACAAGCCTTCAGTAGAGAAAAATCTATTTTTTTTCTCGAAACCTAGTGAAGCTTAAGCCTATGTCCAGATTTGACGATATTGATCAAGTTGCTGCTGGGCATGTGCGGAACTAAATGGTAAAAGAATAAGGGAGATTTGAATACAAAACTAAGAATTAAATGCGCATGGTAGGGGGATCATAATTCACCGGTTGTACATTTCTGAACATATTTGATGGATGATTTTGAATAAGCTATCCTTCGCTTAGATCAGGCTATCGTCAAAAAATATGTGAAAAAATTATTAAACGTGGTTATGGTCATGTTCTTGTCGTTTCAGAAGGTTTTCTTGTGGACGAAATGTTTGGTATAAATTATCCGGCTTTTCTGTGACAAATGTAGAAGTTCTTCGAACTGAGTATGAAAGAGTATTATCGATCGGTCTCTGCCAACGTTACTATCAAGCGAATCAAATTCCAACAGCATTTAATCTTCCAATATTCATACCGCTACAAATGAGTGACGATGAACTTCTGGCAATAATGCAGTCAATTAATAATATGCAATAAAACAAATTATCTATAACTAAAACTCGAACAATTATTTTCTGCGAATGGAAAGTTATAAAAAACATTGTGCAACTTTTAAAGGAACTACGATTATTAAGTAAACAAATTCCCCACTGAAAAAGAAAACTGGACAAAAGCCTGAGGGATCTCATGAGAATTGAACCATGGTTCTAACGACGAAATATCCTGCGTTTCGTCTGCTAAAAATGCATGTTTTTTTCCTCTAAAAATGTCGCGAGGCAAAAACATGCATTTTTATGGGAATCGGGAAGTAAGCCAATATGAGTCCATAATAGAAGATCATCCTCTATTAGAAGACCACTGCCGATTATATGACTTGAAAGCCAATGTTCTAATAGGGGATGGACTTCACGTATAAAAAAATTTTTTACCACATTTTTATATGAAAAATCGAATGAGATATATTTCAATAATAAAATTTTTTGAGTATGTGACAGTATTTCTGGATTCATACATTGAACATCTCTTAAAAACAGTGATAAATATGTAAAAACAGAAGTATCCACCTTTAGTCTTCACATTTATATTCGATAAATTAGAAAGAACATTATAATTACTGAAAACTTATTCTCGAAATCATCTTCCCTAGATAAGATTTCATATATAATTCAATTTTCTATGATATATAATTAAACAATTTGATAAGTATACTTACTACCAATGTATATTTCACCAATTTGACCAATCGAAACAAATTGTAAGTATTCATCTAATACGTAAAATTCATAGTTAGGTAATGGACGACCAATTGGAATAATTTGTTGTGTATTTAAGTCTTGATCATTTATAAGATGAAAAGATGAGGCAATACAACATTCTGTAGGCCCATAAAGATTATAAATCAATGCTGATGGTATGTGTACAGATAATTTTGATACAATTTTTGATTTTAAAGGTTCACCTATAGAAAAAAAAAATAAGAAGAAAATAGAACAAGAAATTTTAATTATTTTCTTTAATCATTTTCACACAACGTACCAGAGGTGGGGGAGCTACCTAATCCGCTCGTAGACTCGCGCTCACGAGCTAGTTCGATCAGGCTCGAGCCGAGCCGCGAGCAGACTTTCTTTTCCTTCAGGCTAGCCGATCCAATCCACGAGCCGATGTCCCACGAGCCGGATCGAGCGCGAGCTACGTTTTTGGATACTACGTTCTTAAATGTTTTTGTCACATATGTTGGCGAAACTACCGCTATTAGCGTCTCCCTAGTAACAGTGTGAACACTATAATGTGATTTGCAGTTCTTTTTCATCCGTTCATCCATCTATTTGTAAATTATTTCAGTGTATCTTTCTTTTGATTCTTTAGGTCACCTATCGAGAAACTTATGGTTCCACACACAAAAATCTTGTTCCTTACCTTTACGGACAAGCGACTTGTCCATATTCTCCTCTTATAAGAATCTTGTCTGTAATCACTATCTTATATCGGCAGACAAGGATCTCGTAGCGTTATCGTGTCTGTCGAGGCAAGAAGGTGTTTGCAGTCAAGATTCTTATCTTGCCACATCTAACCAGAATCTTGTTACGTCTTTTCCAGGTAGAAACGTTAGAAAATGAGGAGTTTTAAAAAAAATTAAGAAATCCTTTGAATTTTGTTCAAAATGTTGCGACTTAATATATGAAAAAATGCTTATCTGTGAAAGCACAAGCTTTTGGACCAGCGGTTCATATCGTCTTTTGGCGATGCCTATTTGACTGTAAACAGTTGAGAAAAAAGGAAGAAACAACAAACCAAATGGAGTCAGCGTCATTATCTTTCCCTGAATACGACGACGGAGTGTCTTCTTTCTCAACTCCTTCTATGAAATATACCACTCATATAATAACTAAGAATTTGAAGAAGAAACCATTTGAATTTAACATAGTTGATTTTGACAAAAAATGTTCATGACCATCAACAGTATGACTAGAAATTTGCTTAAAATTGCTTCTGTAGACTTCTCTGGTCATAATGATAATCAATGGAATTCAGAGTTAATCTGTGATGCGTGATACTGTCCATGTTTTAAAAAAGCATTAGATACCCGGAACTTTAATTGTACGCGAGCCGAGCCTCGAGCCATGACTCTACGAGCTGGATCGAGTGCGATCTGATTTTATAATATTATTGTTGAGTCGAGCCGACCTACGAGTCACTATCTCGCGATTTGTGGTGAGTGCGAGCCCGAGGAAGGCACGACTCGCCTACTTCTGCAACGTACCTAATAAACAAAATGATCGAACACTTTTGATTCGTTCAAAATAATTATTATCATCTAAATATTCACATAATGTTACCATTAATGTTGGTACAATCATTACAAATGATACTTGTTTATTTTCAAATGTTTTAGACATATATTCCATATTTAGATTACCATAACTTTGTAATATTATTAACCTTGATCCAAAAATTTCTCCGAGATGAATATCCCATGAACATCCTGCTATTTGAATACAAATATCATTTTAATTAAATATATTTTGTATTTTAAATGAATTTATACAAGAAATAAAACTTTTATGACACATTTTAATTCCTTTTGGTTTTCCGGTACTACCAGATGTATAAATTAGATATGCAATAGAATCTGGAGAAAATTTTTAATATTTAAAAGTAATAATAAATCATTATTAGAAATAATTTGTTGACTATTAGCTAATATCTTTTCTATATTAATAGTTTGAATTTGTTTATTATTATTATTATTAAATTTTTCTTCTATTGCTGAATTTAAAAATATGATAGATGACTTTGTGTCATCAATTAATGTTAAGATACGTTGTAATGGATCACTTGGATTTAATGGTAGATAAATGCAACCAGTTGTTAATATTGATAACATTCCAATGACCATTTCAATTGAACGTTGAACACATTGTCCTATTACAGTTATATCTGATTTTATATCATTATAATTAGTCATTAAATATAATGATAACTGTTGTACATAATAAAGTATTTCATTATATGTTAATGATTGTTCATCTAATATAACAGCTACTTTTAGTGAATATTGAATTGATTGTTGTATAAATTTTTGATGAATACATTTTATTTTATAATTAAAATCATATTCTGTCTTGTTTATATTTAATAATAATTTAATTTCTTGTGATAATAAAATAGATAATTCATAAATCGGTTGTTTTTTCAAAATCAAATAATGATAAGGATGTTGAAAATAATTGTTTTATAAATAATTGAAATCTTTCACATATTGTTCGTATTGTTGTTCTATCAAAGAGATTACATGAATATTCAAATATACATTCTTTCATATCAGATTTAATTAATAATGATAAATCAAATTTATTTTTATCATTCAGAAATTATCAAAATAAATATTAGATAATTCAAATTGAAATGTTATTTGAATGAATGATAATAATGACGATTGAATTATCTGGTGATATGGTAAATATGAATATTTTGCAAGGGGGAAAAAGCATACTTCTGTACTTCTCGGTACTTCTCGTACTTCTTGATACTTCTTCGTACTTCTTCGTACTTTTTTGTACTTCTCCGTACTTCTGAAGTACGAAGTACGAAAGGAGGATTTCGTATTTCGTATTTCGTACTTCAGAAGTACGGAGAAGTACAAAAAAGTATGAAGAAGTACGAAGAAGTATCAAGAAGTACGAGAAGTACCGAGAAGTACAGAAGTATGCTTTTTCCCCCTTGATATTTTGATACATCTAAACATAATTGTTTTATTGCTAAGAGTATATTTGAAAATGTATGCCGAGGATCTATTTTAAAACGATATAGTAATATATTAAAAAACATTTCAATAAAATTATGTTTTAATTCTAAATTATGATCATTTATATTAACATTTCGAATACCAATACATAAATCTTTTTCACCGTTTGTTAATTTAAATAAAAATATATAATAACATGTTAAAAATAATTGAAACATTGTTACATTCATTGTTTGTGCATATTTTAACATGTTATCAATTAAATTTTGATCGAAATTCAATTCAATTGATGAATATTTTTTGTATGCGATTGTTCCGTTTGTCGATCGTATGGTAATAACAATCGTTTATCTATCTCATATCTTTGTAATAATTGATTCCAATATTTTTGTGCTTGATTTATTTCAAATTCTTCTAACTGGTCAACTAAAATTTGTTTTTCCTATAAAAAATGTAGTTCGTATATATACTTAGGGCAATCCAAAAGTAGTGGCCCAGGTACCTTATTTTCTTATAATAGGCTTATTGAAGTATCATGGAGACTCTGAGCTTACTATATTTGGATTCCTTATTCAAAACTGCATCTAGCCAAGATACTCCAAAGTCTCCCAACCATAAAGCGAAATTTTGGCAAGACTCGGAACGTATATGAGTCAAGAACTAAGACCCTTCGTTCAAAAACACTACTAGTTTTTTGTGTGAAAGGTTAGACCTTTGATTCACACACCATTAGATAGGCCAGGTAACCAGTTTTAAAAATATGTAGGGCTTTTTTTCAAATTTTGTTTTGTTGCTGAGAAAATTCATTTTTTCTAAATCAGAGGCGCAAAAGTCGAAATTCTGTCCTAAATTCTCAATTTTCTCGATCAAAACTCAACGTATGAGCAATAAAAATATCATATTCGGAATCAGGATCAAAAACTGAGTCGACTGATGTATATTTCGAAATTTTTACTTGATATTCATTTTTTGGTGAAAATATCAATAAGCCTATTATAAGAAAATAAGGTACCTGGGCCACTACTTTTGGATTGCCCTAAGTATATATATATATATATATACTTATATTTGTCATGTGCTATTCACTAAGAACTGGGTTTTTTCCCACTACGAAAAAAGAAAATAGGAAAGATGGGTTTTCTCCCACTACGAAAACCAAACATAGATGGCTTTGTACTTTCCTTATCCAGGCTGTT